ACTGTAGTGCATTTAATGACTCCAACATGAAGGACTTGAAAGATGCAAATTCACTAGCTAGACTCGCAGTGTTGGTGGTGGTGGTGGTGCTAGGTGCATTCTGAGTCTTTTGCAATTGAGCTTCAAAATTACTCATCCTGCTATGGAATGTCTCCATCAGCTGAGATAGTGTAAGCTGCGGTTGCTCCATTGTGCCTTATGAAGTAATGTCTTGTCTTAAGATGTCAAGTATTTGCAGGAGTAAAAGGATAATAACACTTCAGCGGGTGGTACTTAGCGTCAGTTACTATTAGCAATCATCAAAGGTGAACTCATCATCAGTAATCAGTAATCATCAGCATCATTAGTAACGGCGAGCACTTCGGCGACGAGTCCGGTCCCAATTCTTATGCATGTGCCTTTATATATGTGCCTTTATTGGAACTATTTTTTTTTTATGTTCACAAATGTATACTGTAATATCAAAACTGTTAAATGAAATACGATAATTGCCAATGCCTAATTGCTCATAATTTACAGTACAGATTGTGTTCATATCTGTCATTATTATTTGTAACTTCATGGGTTACAATATTGCAAAAAAACTCTGCGCAAAGTTGTCATTATTATTTGATATGCGTTTGATATTGTTGTGATATTTTTATTCTTTTTTCTTTTGTAGTATCCACAAACAAGAAAAATATATAAGAATGTTATTCTGTTTTTTCATGCAAGTATTTATTATTTTATTCATGTGTTATTTAAACTACAATCACAACGTAATGACTGTTTTCTAAACTATTTACTATATTGTACTTTTGTTTTATAACAGTTGGCTGGTGGGTTTTGCGCGAATGTAATTATTTTTAGTTTCTTCATTAGGTTTTGTAGTAGTCATATTGTAATTCATATTTATAAATTTTTTATATTTATTAATTTCATTGGTTATAATGTCAGATTTTGCGGATGTGGTAGGTTTTATATCCTGTGACAGCTCGGAGCTATCATATGTTTCTCTTAGCGACTCGGACACCGAAACAGAGACATTGAGTGCTGAGCTTGGTAAAGTATAAGATTCTACATTACAAAGCTTTAACATTTGTCATATTAATGCATAAAGTATACTTAACCACTACTCAGAGATATTAGACATTTCCTATTTGGTTTTATTACACGCGATTCTGATATCAGAAAACTGGTTCAAAACCATGTCATTTTTCTACAGCTTTTTCATTGCCTGGTTTTATTCTTGAGCGTAATAATCGAATTTATTTCAAGATTTGTAGAATCGCTGTAATCAGATGCTCACCATCTTTATTTATCATTAGCAGTTTTTAAACGCCATTATTTTCACGAAAATCTACATTCTTCGTCAGCTTACACCTGAGAATTCTTAAAATCCATTGGTCTCATTAAATCATAAAGTAATCTTTTCCCTCATTCTTTCTCTCTCATCGATTTTAATATACATTTCTCATCTAATTCTTTTACCAACATACTATATGAATCTGAGGCTTTGAAAGATTTTCGTCTCTCTGCAACCTCTAACTAAATGTTTTCTCTTTTTATTTGGTTTCAGAGTCCAAAATTCGTAAAATTACAATGTCCTTTAAGTCCAACGCAGTTGGATGTAATGAAATGAGTCGTTGCATAATAATCTTGTGTTTTGACAATGTCCTCTCCATCATCACTCTTATCATTAACTAATCTCTTTTTACCGGGTTATTTCCTCAGAGCTGGCGTGAAGCGCATACGTTGCCTTTACCAAAAAAGAAAAATTTTATTACCCTCAACCATTATAGGTCAATCCTTTCTACTCTTTACTATAGAATTAATGATCCTGATGTAGTCCTGGATATCTGAAATGTGAGTTTCAGTATTTGGATGCCACTCACGATCAAAATCTTCGCTCAGATAGCAAATTATCTCTTCTCACCCCTTTCCACTGAACTGGTTTTATTTTAAATTCATTTACTCTTCAGGCAATACGAATTTGGAACGCGCTCCTGACTAATATACAGAAAACACCAAATAAAATCTCCGTCGAATTATTAGTTCGTGAACATCTATCAAATTCATTATCCTCATCTGGTTAACCCATCATTTGTTTAGATATGTACATTTATTTAATTATGTATGTATACATTTATTTAAATAATTATGTATTTGTTTGTGTATATTCATTTATGATGTTTATTTATATATAGGATATAATAATGTAGTAAGACGTAAATATTTATCTAATACACTTGATCTTTTCGCACTGCCTCATTTTATCTGTATACAACTCTCCGGTTGATTGATAGAGAATACCTAAAGGCATAAAGTCCGTACTGTGTATAAAAAAGTTTAAATAAATAAAACAAAATAGGAAAATATTGCTTTAGCATTTTTCCTAAATATTCACTAGAAATAAAAAAAAAATCTCAACGACCTAAGGATATTTTCATTACGTGAATCAGAAAATGAATAAAACTAAACAAAAATGTAGTAATTTATAAGTCAATTTAATTTAAAATTGAAATAAAAACACACAAATGCAAAGTTAAAGTAAAAAAGCACAATGTGAAAAAAATGTAAGTATCATTTAAGTTAATTATCGTCAACCAAACAAAAAAAACGTTTGACGCTAAAAATCTATAGCTAGGAAGAGTAGGTGAATTTATTTGAATAGTCATCAATATCTATTTCAAAAAAGTTTCTACTTTGATGAAGATTAACAATAAAAAAAAAGGCAATAGCATTATTTTGTACCGTTTCTCGTTATTGTCAATAAAAAGAAAAGCGCCTATGTAAAAACGATACCTTCTTCCTACAAATTAAGGAGTATATTTCAATGTTAATAAATTATCGATTTTATTGACAAACCTTTTTAGAAAGCTGTAAAAACTGATGAGTCTTAATATAATTGTTTTTTAATAACCTTTGAAACCCAGAGCTTTAATTCTGTTAATGTTAGTTTAATTAGGACGAGTCAATAATACTTCAGTGACTGACTGCCTTTTTTCAAGTCCTTGTTTTTTTTTTATCTCAAAATAACAAATAATGTGTCACCACTGATTTAGGAATACAGTGCACTACTAGGCTTAAAATAGATAGAACACTGGAAAACTACAATTAATAGAGTCGCAATGAGATATTCTATTACCTTGACTTTAGAAGAAATGAGACCCTGAAGCACCCAAGAGGTTAATCGATATTTTATGTATCGTATTTTGGCCGTATTTGATTGGATTTCTTTGTTATTTATTTCTATGTCTTCATTCCTTCAATCATCCACGGGTTTATAATTAGTTTACTTTTGGGAACCTTTATGGTACGAGTGTTCTCTTTTAGAAATTCGGATAATTTATTGATAAGCATTTCTGTTATGGTATCAGGATTATTGCAATATCGCAGATCAGGTATATTTTTCTCAGCAAGACATTTAATTGTATTTTTAAAATCAACAATGGTTTTAATTTTGGAGTACTATTTATATGTTTTTTTTCGAAAGGACTTAAATTTGGAATATCATTGCATGGCCAGAAATAGAACACCTACTGTTGCAGACAATTTATTTAAACCTGACTCAATCATGTAATGGTCGAGGCAGTCAGTTTCGAGTGTTGGTTATAAATGCCCTGGTTTAATAGCTAACATATTTAAATAATTTCTATTATTTTGCGTTCATAACATTGTTCTAGTTCTTTTGGCAACAGTTTAAAATGTATATCTACCGTGAAATAGAACACCTACTGTTGCAGACAATTTATTTAAATCTGACTCAATCATGTAATGGTCGAGGCAGTCAGTTTCGAGTGTTGGTTATAAATGCCCTGGTTTATTAGCAAACATATTTAAATAATTTCTATTATTTTGCGTTCATAACATTGTTCTAGTTCTTTTGGCAACATTTTAAAATGTATATCTACCGTGACTTAAACGATTTTATTATATCGTTTAAGCCACGGTAGATATTGTATTTTTAAACGATTTTGAAGTATTCAAGTGTTAATTTAGTGCTTGTATAAATTGTTCTACATTAACAATGGAAGATGATCTATATATTCCTATTACAACAGTATCCTGATCCATTACTTGTAAATAAGATGCGTGGTTAAACTTTATTTCAGGAACTGTCTTAACGTTGGTTAGTTTTTTTATTTTTTTATATAGACCATCACATCATCATTTCGATAAATATGGTTAGTGGTTACATATGGGATATAATCACTAATCCCAGGAACAGAATTTTTGCTATAAAGTCTGCATTCAGTTAATATTATTATGTCTGGACAGAATTTTAATATACTGAGCGTCAAATTCGTCATTCAAATTGCTATCAACACTTTTTATATCACTTTGTTTAATGTTTATGTATTAAGGAAAATCATCCATATCACAATTGATTGCGCTTGATACTTGGTCCGTCTATTTCATGTTGTGTTTTAAGATTGATATCCATTTTTCGTGATAAAATAATTGCAAGTGCTATGTATTTATGTATAATATACTTTTTGAAGAAATTTAGGTTTTGATTTATTTCTTAGTTATTCGTCATAGTACCGGTGTTTGTTATTTGATTAGAATTGTGATTAAAAATATAATTAACAAGAGTCTGTGAAATTATCTGTGTAGTATTTAGATGTTTTAATTTAGATGTTTTAATTTAGATATTACATTTATAATGTTAAAACATATTGTTTTCTTAAATAATAAATTAGTTACAACCTCCGGCATGAGAAAATGAATTAAAGTATTTCTAAACTCAGAAAATTATAGTTCTTGACTAAATTCGGTAATAAAAGTACTAAACTTATCACTAAACTAAAATCAAAGTATACATAAAATTTTCTACGTTAATAGTATAAACATAGTCATGCTTCTTGCAGGTACAGAATTTTCATGTTTTCTTACATCGACCTTGCACTACGCAGTCCAGCAAAATTTATATCTCCCGTCCTAAGAAGAAAAGTCGAGAGCCCTGTGAGGTTAACTGTTCTGTGAAGAGCCTGCAATTTATTCTTGTGCTTAATATTAAATAACTTACTCAGGTTGATGATGTCCGTTTTCAAAATGGCGAATGTTGTCTCAACAATAATTGGAATATTTTGAGATGATTCTTTACGAACTTTTACTCTACAGATATTTTTAATATCCGTTTATGCTAAATTGCTCCCAACTGCACCAGCTTGTTTTGCGACCATTTCAATTAGGTTTTCTTTTGTTTTTGGGACATTTTTTATTTCAAAATTTGCTTTGCGTGGTGACATCTGTAGATCTTCAATTTTTTCCTCAAGTAAAATTATATATTTTCTATCTTCTCTTATTTGATTCTCGAGTAAATCAGCTTTGTTACTTTGTTGTTTATCATTAAATATCTTTTTCATTTCGCGTTCTTGGGTTTGCATCATAGATTTTATTTCTGTTTTGAAATTATTAAATTCAATTACAAAATCATCCTCCCTTCTTCGCTTGTATTGTGTGAATATTATGCCAGTCGGTGTTTTATCAATTCCGATTTGATTGATTTCAGAATCAGATGCAGACTTATCAGCATGGTTTTCCATTTTGAAGTCCGATTATAGGTCTGTCACGCGTCCGCCTATGAGTAATGACGTATGGCAGCGTAAACAACGATACACACAGTATACTACTCGCAATATATGCGCACCTGGTACTTTTGTAAGAAGTAACTTCGTTTATACCAGTATTTTTTTAATTTAAAATTTGAATTTAATTGACACAAACATACATGTCTCAGCGCTGTCACTGCTCGGAGGGAACAATAGATTAAGCGAAGCCTTCTCGTCTTGTAGCGTCATGTGACACTTAGTTTAGAGTATTGGTATTGTTATTGACAGCGGAACAGGGTTTGTGGTAAGTAAATTAAAGATAAATTTCAAGAAAAAGACATATTTTAAATTAACATTATAATCATTTGTCGTAACTAACCTTTCGTATCATTTTCATTCCTTAGATTCATATCACTAATTTTGTTCATATCGATAAACTTTTTAGTGTTTTCCATTTATATTCTTTACTTTTTCCATTCTATAACTGTGGTCCTTCAATTTTATATCTTTAACCATTAAAATTCTGTAATATAAACTTATCCAAACCTTTACGAACTTTCATCCTATGTTTTTGTCTACTTATACTAATGTCAGCCCTTACCTGTACTTTTCATAGTTTTTCTTTATACATTTTACCAATTCTAATCATATTAAAGCACTTATTTATATATTATAACACAAATTATCGCTAATTTTAATTGTTTTGACAGAATTGACATCAAAGTTTTTCTTCGTTGCTATGGTTATATTTGATACTCTTCATGAAAATTGACTCATTGTTTGTCATTTTAGGCATTGAAACTCTGTAGTTTTTGAATTTTTAGGGTTCTAATTTGAAATCATTTACTTCTAAATTTGAGTTCGTCTTCAGGTATAAATAGCTTCGCTCAAATAGTTCTTGATCACTTCAACGGCAACAGTTGCCAAGTTAGCTTTTTGGAGCTCGTACAGAGCTAGCTAAATTCTTAAAAGGCCTAATTCCCGGGAACTCTTCAAAGTTACGGTCTCAAAGTCGTATGACATCTTTCTGGCTTTAACTAGACGACAACAAATTAATACTCCACTATAACCTCCTTCGCTACTTCACTCCTGGAGGCTGTCTGCGAGTATACGCCTTAGGCCCAAGCTGCTGCTCAGTTCTGGGCTGCCGAAGAATCCCTTGTTCGACGCATCGAGACTACGCCTCGCCGATTTACGCTCTCGGTTCTTGGCTGCCGAAGAATCTCCTGTTCGACGCATCGAGACTACTCCTCACCGATTTACGCTCTCAGTTCTTGGCTGCCGAAGAATCTCCTGTTCGACGCATCGGGAGACTACGCCTCGCTGAATTTACGCTCCGGATCCAGACGCCCTTCAAGACTGCTGAAGTACATCATCAACGGAATTTCACCGCTGACCCACGCCCCTTCACCTACACTAACACTTTCACTCACACTTCTATACTTTTCACCTCACTAATCACCTCGTCCCTTTTATTTTATATTTTTTGTTTAATGTAAATAAATTATTTAATTTGATTTATCATCTTTTAGTTCTTTTTATATCTTGTTTCATAACACATTACTCAAGACAACGATATATTTCCAAAAACTTTATGCTTAACAGTAGAGTTGGACAGCAAGAATAAACAATTAAAAGTGTCAAAAATCAAATACTCCAGTAAAAAAAATATATAAACACTTATATAAAGAGGCTGGCAAAGCTTTCGCCAACAGGTTTAATATAAACAAACCTCTTTTTTCATTTATATATGAATTGACATCAATATACCTATTATAGTTTTTTATATGAAAATAATGATTTTCTTTCACTGGGAAACTAAGTTGAATGTCTATGAACAAATACTTATAAATAAAACTTTACCCTGATGACATTCGGCTGAATATTTTCTCGAAGTTTAAATTTACTAAAATTTTAAGCACGTTGATAATGCAAACACCAATAAATAGCAATAAGTACTTACTCTCGGGATACATTTTCCGAAAACCGTCATCTGGAAAAGGAACTTAAAGCAGTCGAGTTAAAGTTTATTTTCGATGTTTTGTACTGAAACATTAAAATGTTGATTTAACTTCCTTCCAACTCGGCGGTGGTTGTCAAACTGTCAGCCACGAGGGACCGGTAGATTCATACATGTTTTAAGCTTGATAGGACACGAAAACACTTGTCATATACTAGAAGTAATTCGAAACTTCTTGTTAGACGTTCTTTGTTGAGCTCTTGAGACTGTCAATAAAAACATCGGCTTTATTCTGGATCTATATGAATGTTATGTGAACTCTTCCGAAGAAAAAAGAAAAGCTGATAATTTGCATATATATATATATACATATAGTTTATTAGTCACCTTATTCTACCGGCTGTAACTAGCCAGTAGTATTACATAGAAAATACAAAGGAAATTTTTTTGAGTCTTACAGTCAACGTTGCCCTAAAATCATTCAAGGGTTGAAATACACCCTTATCTGACAGCTTGGTATCGCCTTTATCGTCTTCTATCACATAGAAGCGCCATTTGCTAAGGCAAGTAAGATAGCATATTGTCTAACGAAGAAATTTTCTTTTATTCTGTAATTTTATTTCATTAGTTTATATAATTATACAAAAAATTGAAACGAAAGTTATCAAATGATCTTGTTTTTTTACAGGATTTGCTTTCTGTAAACAATGTTGTTGGTTCCTGACCAATGTGAGTTTATTCAAATTTTTAGGTATAATATTGTACATACGGAAAATATTGTATTTTTCGCCTAATACTCCCACTAAGCTTACGTACACAAAAATTTTTATTAGCGTTAATACGAATACAAAATTTAAGATTTCAAGTGACGCCAACGAAGGGTATTATGTTTTTTTAACATATTAACGTTAATGCCAATATTGCCAAAAACATCCATCCCTCAATATATCTAAACTTTAATATCGCGGTCGTAAATAGCTGCGCATTTATCTTACTAACATATTAAGGAAGTCGTTTATTAAAGCCCAAGATAAAAGTCACACACGGTATTAAATGTCTGTATCTAAGCATCTGGCGAATGGCCAGAGGGTTAATTGTGAATGCTGACCATTTAAAGGGTTAAGTGTTTTGACGATCTATGAGACTCGTTAAATGCAGGCTATACAGCTGCAATAGAAATAATTCACAAGATTTCCACTTGATTTGTTTTTAATATTTATAAATATACTTGCTTAGCGAATGATTGCAAGTTGCAATTGAATTTTAAGTAATTGTTACAAAAATGGGTTAGTTTAGATACTAGTTTAAATTAGACGGCCAAAGTTGGCAACCATAACATTTGGCTAAATTCTGTGCAATCTTTAGTTGTTAGAACTTGAAATCTCCAATTTCCTATTATTGTTGGAACGTTTTTTTTTTCCCACGCAATAATCTTTACTGTTCTTAGCTCATTCTTCTTCTCTATAAGATTTAAATTACAAATATATGACGATTCGACAGATTTAGGTATCTGATTCATAATCAAATCCTTTTAATCTAATTTTGAGTCCAGATATATTTCTTTATTTTGTTTTAAATTAAATATTTCTAAAGTTCGTTATAGTTTCTTACAAAATTTTATCATAAAGGTCACTTGAAGTATTAAGCCGCGGTTCCGAATACGAAGTAGAAACAAAATATGAGTATACGCTTGGAAAGTCACATGATTATAAGGGTTCAGTTCTTATGGTACCCGGCTTTTGTGGTTGACCGGTTTATGTTTTTAGATACATTCTGAAATTATATTTTTTATATAATTTGGTTCTATGTTGTGCATAAAATACTATATAATATATATAGCTGAAGAATTTGTCGCACTGAAAATTCCAGGAAATAACGGCGTAATATAAATGACGTCATCAAGTCTGGCAAACAAATCCGATTTAGCTCATGTATTATTTTTGATATAAATTCTTCCATCTGAAAAATGTGTAACAGATTCGTTTTGTGTTGAGAATTTTTAACTCACTTCATTATCCATCGTCACTCTTTTCACATGGCCGCTTTCCTAGTACCTACACTCCTAGAATTAGAACGCGTTAAGAGCAATCTTCACTTGATCAGTCCAGTGCACCAGCGACCTACCTCGCACATCCACGAGAAGTTTCACAGAGTCATAAGTCTCCAACGACGTTGAGAACTGAAGCCATTATAAGGATAAACACTGTTTGATGCCGAGTTCCCAAAAGATGGACAGGTTAGTCATAAACTCTGTCCACGACAATACTAAATATGTTTCATTGTTTCTTGTTCTTGGAAATACCAATTATATTCAAGCCGACTATTTCTAAATTAAAGATATTTCCTATTCCAGTAGCAATTTTAATGTTATTATTTGGGTTAGTAAACAGTTTACACGTGGTTTGCCCAGTGTAAATTAATTGAAGGGGTAACAAATAGCTATGTTAATCAATGTCAGAATAATTGCGAAACCCACACCGCTATTCAAGAGTTGTTATATAGAATTATGTTACTTGATACTTTATATTTATAATATTATATTCCGAGTGGTCTTTAGATGTTATCTTAAACTGTTTTTCATTTATCTGTTTGTTTACTTGATAATAAATAAAAAAAAAAATAATTACAGTTTTATCGGCTACATAGGCTTTCTAATTTTGCTAATGGCCAGTTTTTTACACGACCGCCCAATAAAGGAGTGCACTGTGATTAGGATTAATGTATGTGTAATATATGAAAAAAATAATGTTCTACTGACAGTTTTTGATGCTGTTTTATATTATTAATTTATTTTGAAAACAATACGGTATTAATGTCAAAATCTATATGTAGTATTATTTCATTTCGTATATAATTTTGTGTGAAAGATAAATACAAAACGAGGCGAATATACATTTTGATTTTAATTCACCGCAAGCTTTCAGCAAGGAGGTCTCATATCGAGTTGGCTCAGTGAAGTTATGTATCCGTTTATTGGGTAAATTGTTATTTATGGGGAAAACTGGCGCAGGCCACGTTTCAATAAACAAGTTTATTAAATGGAGTTTATTTCTCATAATATGTTTCAATTCATGACGCCAACAGTTCTTAAGGTATAGATATAAAGCAAAAAACGGTATAATAGAATCTAGTTTGTGAATAAACATCTGATTTTTGCAATAATTTGATAGAGTTAGTCAATGGTTACCCGTTCTGGTACTAGGTTTGGATTTTAAGTAACTTAATAATCACGATGATGTGGTTATATTTATTCTTGAAAATTAGGTGTACAATAAGTGCTGTGTAATTGTGACTTCTTAGTTTAAATTTAGAGAGATTTACGATTTTGAAACTTTCGTTTGTATTATTTAATATTAACCAACTGATGTGGCAAATTAAGTTGGACTTTCCAATTCGATAAAAGATTGAATAGCAAAAGTTTAAATTCTTTAGAATGCGTTTGTTGTTTAGAATTAACTAGATGATTGTCGAACTTCGTAGAATTAAGAATTGTAATCTACAGGTAAACGTTCAGTTTGTAGATACATAAAGCATTTATTTGCACCAAAAACAAATAATTGTTGAAATTAAATAGAAAATGTTTATTAAACACACACACTTTACTTTTATTAAACACACACACTTTACTTTTATTAAACACACACAATTACAAAAAACAAAAGACATTATAATTTAATTCAATGTGCACCCGGTGTGGTGTCCAAAAGGTAAAAAACAAATAATTGTTGAAATTAAATTGATAACGTTTATTAAACACACACACTTTACTTTTATTAAACACACACAATTACAAAAAACAAAAAAGACATTATAATTTAATTCAATGTGCACCCGGTGTGGTGTCCAAAAGGTGTCAGCTCGACATGTGTTACAAATAACTGCAACATCGGTTTTTAGCTGACACCTCTCAAGTGGTGAAGTTCTGCCTAATAATAATTAAATATACCTACGTATTGATATAGCGTAATAATCATAATAAAACAAAAAATAGTAATTACCTGATAAATATTATACATATAAACACAATTAAATAGATAATGTTCTAAATACACATTGTATTGCTCCATTTAAATAAAATTACAATAATTAGAATATAAAAGTAAATTAAACCACTACGGAAGCACAACTATCACCCGTATTTTAACCGTACCGCAGACCGAACACGCTAATCACTGTAATTTGTAATTTTGTTGCAAATAAATTGCGAAAATACTACGAAATTGATACTTATTTATTGACTGTTGACTGACAAGCTCCATGATCACGGAGCTATTTGCACTATCACGATAAAACTCCGGAAACTCAAAGTTTCAGAATGGGTCTTCACTGTTTTTTATAGCTCCGTTGTCTCATGTTATAAACAACGTAGTAATGCTATATATAATTCTGAATTCTATCCTAATACGGAACAAGCATGGTAATCTATCGCAGCGAAGCCTGATTTATTGCGTCGCATTCAACCACATTTCACTCGCATTGGGATGGTCGGGTGCCGTATTTCGATACTGACTAAAAATTATGTGTGCTGCGTGTGCAAAATTTCAAGGGTCAACTTCACTAGCTTTTAATTAATTAGTCTATACAACAAAGGAAGAATAATTTTGTAGATTACTCGGATCTTAAAGGGTTAATAGGCTTACACCCGTTTTTGCTAATCTAGAACAAGGCACAGTTTACTAGAAAACGCCTAATCTTACGAATCGCCTAAGAAGATTAGTTTTATTTCAATTATACATATTTTCTTTTAATCCAAGAGTTTCTGCCTTATTACGCATCTGTTATATTACACATAAGGCATGTCCATGGTAGTTCCTAGTCATTGATGAAATGCATTATCATCTTAGACGACTGCTAAATATTTAGGCGATCGGTTTGGGCCTAAGTGTAGTGAAAATGGGCATAAGAGTGTCTATAGTCTTCAATTATACGTGATGTATGGTATATGTATGTATGTATACGTATGTAATTAATTATTCATTTCTAACCTTTTTTAATCGACAATTTATTAACATTTAGGACCTGTAATAAAAATAAAAATGTTGTTAATGGAACAAATAAATATAAAAAACAATATAATATATATATATATATATATATATATATATATATATATATATATATATATATATATATATATATATATATATATATTTATATATATTTCTTTCACAAAATCAGTATATATATATATGTATACTGATTTTGTGAAAGAAAGATTGCATTCGTTTACTAAGAAGAGAGAATCACACTCTAAAGTTTAAGAAGAAAAAAATCTTTAATATCCAATTCCCGCAGACTGAAATTATAACTAGATATTTATCAGAACTTTCCACATTATAAATTACCACAGTTTCGTGTATAAATAATGAAGAAACAGACATCCTTTTATGTGGAAATGTAAGAATATAGAACCCGGGGAAGGTAAAATCCACCTTTTACGATCAGATTGATCGCGTTCTATTGAAGAATAATGTCAGACGCTATAAAATGGGCGAGCATGCAGGTAAAAGAGCTACGAACGTTAGGAAACCGAAATACATATCGCTTCTGACTGTTCACATTCAAATAAACTTAAGTATGTATAAATTATTTAAGACAATGAAAGAAATACAAAAAAAAAATTACGAAAAAGTCGAAAAAATGGGTTGTCCTTCGTGTGTTATAATATTTGTTTGTGGGTTCAAGTTACCCTTTTAATTCGAAAGTGTACTTAAACGTTAATTTGATACGTTAGTACTAATTATAAAGGCGAAAGATTTAGGTTTGGATGTTTGTTACTTCTACACTAGAAGTACTTCCAAGCGCGCCTATTAGATATATTATTGCCTCAAATATTTATTTTGTTCTGTTTTTTAGTATTTGATATTATATCGGCAACAAATATACATCATTTGTGAAATTTCAACTGTCACTTCAACTATCACGACTCATGAGATACATCTTGGTAACAGACGGACAGACAGACGGAAGGACGGACAACGGAGTCTCAGTAATAGGATTCCGTTTTTTACTCTTGGGTACGGAACTCTAATACGAATTTACTATTACAATTCCATTGATAAGGTAACTAATATTGAGGATATAGTATACTAATAGTTAAGTAGAAGTTAAATCACTACTACTCATATTTTTCAAGAAACTGTTTATTGTTCTTAAAACAGGTACATTTAACGTATTTTGCAGAGATTTCACTTCTACATAACTATTAGAAATTGCACAAGAATAACGGTACAGAGCTTAGAATATAATTTAATGCTAGCTACCAGCAAAGCTCTCTAGAAATACCTCTACTATCTGTTTAAATTAATAATAAGGCATCAAGCTTATGAGGTTGGTTTACCATGAGTTGTGATATATTTGTGACTTTACCTGTTTTACCAGAGAAGTGCATTTTTTTTTTCCTTAACTATCCTTACTAATAATAATAATGCGAAACTCGGTCTGTAACCATTTAGGTGAAATTTGGTATGAGAAAGTATAATACACTAAACAGGATAATATATTTCAAACATTAGAGTGATCTTATATCGAATCTCTCAACGGTTCGCCTATTTTCATTGATATAAGTTAGTCTACTTATATAGCAAAAATAATATTTTTTAAAATAACAATTTCACTTCTAATTTATTATTTTCGGTGTGTTTCGCATTCACAGTGATTGTTTAAAAATAATTTTGTTTCTTATTTATTATCTTTGGTATTTTTTGCATTTACAGTGACAAAAACGTATTCGAAAAATTACTCGATATGATACTGTTAGTTGAGCCTAAGAGCATTCGGTATTTTTTTTTTTTTTGATAACTTTGATGATGACAAATTCACTCAAGTCAAAATAGATTCACTAAAGAGATGTAGATACAAATGTTTTCAATACATGTCCTTTGCCTACAGAAAATGTCCAGTGGCGCTCGCCTGGTGACGATGGGGTTCCTCTTAAGCCTTGCCGCTTCAGCCACCGCAATCAGGTGTTGGAAATGTGGTCAGTACAGCGACGGAGTCGGTTCCATAACACCTTGCAACAATCGAAGTGCAGCACATCTGGAAGAGTGTCCAGGAAATTCAAAATACTGCATCGTAAGTACTCTATTTTATAATTGAATTATAAAAAGAAAATAGCTTATCATTTATTAAAAACAATAAATAAAATAATTTAATAGCTAAAATTGACAATAATACAACTTAAAATAAAATAGTAGCTCTAAATAATCAGATACAATCAACGTAAATAGTACAAGAAAACTTTACCGCCATTTTGTCGGTCAACGTTATTTCAACAAAATGTCCACCGGATAACGTTATCCGGAAATTGATCGCGTGGCGTCCTCTAGATACACTTACGGTTACTTTGATATTCGAGATAAGAGTACCACCAATATTATTTGAACCAACAAACTTAGATCTAGTGGATATTTTCAATTAATACTGCTTTAATATACATTTTCGTATACACAGTTGACTTAAATATAAAAATTATATGTTGTTAAACAAAAATCTAAAATGGTATGTTTCCGAGACACAAGTTATTAAACTTGGCTTTTGATATAATGCGCACCATCAGTATCTTTACCCAGGTCGAAGGGCGGAAAACAATTTACAGAAAGAAAAAAAAAGCAAAATTTATAGCATATATTTTTTGAAAAATCAATCGAATCCGATAAAACAATCGATTTATACACGCATAACTTCCGAATGCCAGTTCCGACTGCACCAAATTAGATGATTAAATTTTTTGTGTTTCACGATTCATGACATGGTTTGTTGTATATAAGATTTTTTTAAAACGGGTATAAGACGGTACGAAGTTCGCCAGGTCAGCTAGTTATATATATATTTTTTAATTTTAAATTGATATGATTGTCATTTTTGCTTTTGCTGTCTATTTTGCTATCCTGTACTTTGTTACGTAAAAGTATTTTTAAAAGGAATGTTTCCTCGTTAATTTCTCTTTTAATAAAAGAAACCTATAGCCCATGCCCCAATATCTATAACAAGTATATTCTTACTTAAATTGACAAAATAAAAAAGTTCATATTTTTTAATATTAAATTATTTTGTGATTTGGAATGTATAATAATAAAGACAAACTAAGCCTATATTTTCGTGTACAAGAAAATACAATTTCAGTTGCTGTCTTCTTCCAAAGTTATTTATATTTATTAGAACTAGGCACTTGAACCGTCTAGATAGGTATACATATATTTGTTATATGAGTAAGTAAATCCTAATTCATGTACTTCCACTATTCATACAATTAGGGGATCATTTCACGATATTTCCAACCCTTTCGTGGCCTTACATAGGTAGCGGGATGACAGAGAGCTAATAAAGCCTTGTGTACACGACCTCCAAACTAGGTTTCTGTGTTAAGAGCCAACTCACTGCTCTGCTGTTTTCGAGAGACAATATTTTTCTTTGTCAAGATTTAACAATATATCTGAACATCACACAAATCATTCAACAGCAAGAACAATGTAATATTATAAATCTATAACTGTTTCCCTGATGACATTTGCAAATTTATTTTAAAGTATTTTTTTTTTATTTGAATTGTTTCTATACTATAATCCTTTATAGCGGCACGGGCACGGGCCGGACATATCGATAAATTTAAATAAGAAGGCAAAAACCAACCAAGCGGGCCCAGTGTGGTGGGTGAGTGCAAACGACTGCTAATGCAATCGAGATAAAAGACTTGACGTGTGTGTCTTTTGAAGCATGGCGTAGGTCGGCCCATGCGAAAGTTGGTTAACCTCCGTATTGTAAATTGAACTCACTTATCGCTACGATATCGTGTATTCTTACATACGTACATACGAGTAGATCAAAATAAAACCGCATAGGACAAAGAGGATATTTAAGTATTTTTGAAGATTTAGATTTTAAATTATCAAAAGTAAGATGACCAAAATTAAAAATCTCGAAAAAAAGATCATGATGAATTACAACTAACAACACATAGATTATATAAAACCCATGTGTAGCTTTAGAATTAATATTAGAGGGTTTATTTATTGATATTAAAGCTCCTATCACTTTACTTAAACTGGCCATTTGACAGCAAAACTTCTAAACTTCTGTTTATAATATAAATTACCCTCATGGAAATTAAGCAAATCACAATTAAGTGAATGCATTTTGTGGATATTAAATATTGTAACATTTAATATTTTAGTGTTATTGATTATATAATTTACCTTTGGGAACACACATTGTGAAACGGTACACAATATTTGGACGTAATCGAAATTTTAACGATTTTGCTATTTTTGTTTCCCATATTATTTTTTTTCTTACACAAAAAATAATATTGAACTTTGACTATGGAACAAGCTAATACTTCAGATAAAAATGCTTATTTATGAATTTTTACACGAATATCACTATATACTCGTATAATAAGTTCCCGCCTTTGAATGTGTGGTTAGTTTTCTTAGTTAAAAATATGCTTACTATCAGCCAAAGAATTTCAGAAAATTCACAGGGTCGTTAAGTTTTCCTGTAGCTTAGCTGGAAGAGCATTTCTTGTTTTTTCACAATCTAGTTAACTGTTCTCTATTGTAACCGCGTTTGGTGTTAATGTCAATATGTGTCATATTTGACATATTTTTTTATATTTTTGAAAATTTAAGGACCGTTTTCGTCTTGAAACACATATGTCATTTTACATACATTTTAAATACCTTTTAAATACCTATAGGTATTTAAAATTATATATATGTTTCATTTACAAAAATATGAATTCATAAATGAAGCCCGCCTTTCTATCTGTGGCACGCAACATGGTGATTTATTTATAACTATTTCACATAAATTCACAAATTTCACTAATTAGCCACTTACAAAACACTATTACTTTTTAACAAAATATTTGCAATCATATCTTAATAAAATTTACCGATTCCACCCGGATGAAACAACATCCAAGATCCAAGACGTGTTCATGTGAGTACATGTTCTTCGTTGATCTAAAACCAAACGGGAACTCCTAGCAACATAATCTATTAAGTCAACGCAGTTAAAGGCAACCTAACCCTCAAAGAGCTATAATCGTTAATCTGCAAGAGAAAACTTAATACGTTATGCAGCCATTGAGTTAAGAAGATACTTCACACAGACTTCTCACTTTTACATATTTTATACTAAAATAAAAATTCGTAAAATTAATTAAAGAAAAGCATAATTCTTTTACAAATAACACCATCAAAATGACTAATTTGTTATAATTAATTTTAATACTTTCACTAACGACGTCGCCGTGGTAAATATTAATTAAAAAAACCACTTTGAAAAATAGCTCTTTAACAGCTTTAATGAATATAAATGAACCGCAAAGTGTGCAAAAAAATAAAATAAATGGATTTTTACATCAGTCTATTTTAATATTAGGTAAACTGATATTTTGTACTTAATGCGCTATATTTTTACTTTTATATTGGAAATAGCCTTTAAGACTAGATGGAGGAAAAGCCAATTATTAGCGAATTTTTACGATGCTTTCAGTTAATAAAAATAAATAAATTAGGCGCAAACTAACACCAACTGGGCTACGTGATGGTATAAGCTTGTTTTCCTTATATAATAAGGCCTGTGTGATGATTAAAGTAATTAGGACAGTGCCACTGTTATAGTGATTAAGTATAAAAATTATTCAAATCATATAAAAAAAGATTATTTAATGATATTTTATTAGTAGGTATAGATTTCCAAATATTTATAACACTTAATTAAATTTAAAAAGCAAAAGATATATAGAATCACCGAAGCTGCAATATATATCACAAAAATTCTATCAAAAAATTATTCTGAACTAGAAATAAACGATGATCGTTTTGTCTTGTAGGCATGTCTTAATATAGCCTTTAGTATGGGCAAGAACAGGCCTTTATCCTTCATCGGCCCGTTTAGTTATTCAAACTATATGTTCTGTATAACCATGCTATTAAGGCGTGTTCGCTAATACAGCTGTGAGCAAAGTGGAGTCGACAGTATTAAATAAAAGAAAGTATTAATAAATAGTTTATTAACTGTGTTATTATATTCTTAAAAATAGGTAAATGTACAAGCCGTGCTAGAATAAAAATTTTGTTTAAATTATAATTCAGAGCTTTGTATTTTAGACATAGTACGTGTCGTGACGCGTCACTGTTCATAACAATGGCTAATGAGAAAGGGTGTCGTGAAATTGAAGTGAAAAACTGGCCAACTGTAAAAAAACTGTGTAAGAATATAAACATTGAACACCATTCCAGTTTCTTGTAACCAAAAATAGAGAATTTTAGAGACATTTAGCGCAATATTTCCATTCAAGAATGAGTCCAACATGTCCATAGTATTTATCTGTGTGTAGAAAGTATTCACCCTGACAAATAGCCACGAGAATTCGCCTAGTTTTGGTATTTTTGCCACAATTCCGATCTCCTTTTCGTTCCGCTTCCGCTCATCGTTATGTATGCGACTGCAATCTAACTGAGCCTTCAGATATGTCAACAAAGAGGGGATGAATGGGTGGGGAGTAAGGTTGACAAATGACGTTTATTATCGTCCGCAGCCAAACACCGTGGGTAAGCGATTTTTCGTTGGACCGTACAAAAATATTAATGCTCGACATAGGTACCTTTTTTCTGCTATCAATGTTCTGAAATTGATACATTGAAAGTGTGTTTTGTTATTATATTGGAAAATCTCAATAAAAAAACTTTATATATTTATATTACATCAAGAATATTATCATAAAATACATAATAAATATTATAATATACTCATATAAACCTAATACAGAAAAATTTTGGTTATTCGGGTTTATAGAATAAAGAAATAGAAAAGACCTTTAAATTTTTACATATTGAGCGTAGAAAACATTCTAATTCTTCATTTATGAAAAATCTGTTTTTCTTTTTCTTTTAATTATTTATATAATTTTCTCATTAAACCGAGAAAATATATCGATAAAATTAAGGCATGCAGACTAATATGATTATATTTTTTTAACAATTACAAACATGGCGTTTTTTTCATAGATAAATCTGATCATACATAAGATTTTCATTCCATTTTGAAAATATTATTATAAATTA